TCTAAAGGTGTCTATGCAACTACCAGGCGTAACACAGGCCATGTAGCAGGAGTATGCTCAAAAAGCCCCATGCCTGGATCCTGCAGCTCACATGCATGGTCGGCACTGCAGCAAGATCACAGTCTAATTTGTTCTGACACATATTCCCTCTGCATGCTCAGGTTGGAGATTTTACCTATATCTTGTACGAATGTGAACAGTGCCATCCTACAGGGCTCTTCTCAGGATTAGTTGGACCAAATCTGTGTAGCTTGGTGGTTGTGGTGAACACTAAACAGTACAAACTGGTATAAGCCACTTGCACATTTCCTGATCACAACAGCTGAAGACAAAACATATTGAATGCTAAAATAGATTAACATTTGCTTTACAGGCCTACGATAAAATGTTAAGTACAGTAGTCCTGTGTTAAAGGATTGCTTGTGGCATACATCATCTCTCTGAAGTGGAGCAGCTCTGCCCCTATTCTGCCTTCAGCTGAAGACAGCATCATTCCTGGAGGTCTGGTGCTTCTGTCACGACAGCTTGCTGGAAGCCCTTTGCTGGGCAGAGACTTTACCAAGCCAGCCTAAACATTAGGGCACTCTACAATATGTTTTGGGTTTAAACACCTCTGGAGATAAAAGAAAAGCCAATACTGCCACACCTTGAGATCAGGTGCCTGGCAAATGGTAGACATAGGTTCCTGTCACTGCGGGTTTACATGATCTAACCCCAGACATTTTTGCCAGGGAAATTTGTCTATTAGACCTCCCATTGGGATGGCAAACGTGAAAATTTCTGGCAAATTCAATACTTGCTGAGGGGAGGAAAGGCAGAAGTAGTGGTTGGATTTAATCTCAAGGAAACTGAGTGCTTTCAGACACAAATAAATTGCACAATTTGGCAAAGACAAGACCACTGTTAGATGATCTTAATTTCACAAGCAATATGTGAAAGAAATGAAGGTGATAGGAGTGATCAGCAAAGAGTCAGCACAGACTCAAAAAGATAAAATGTGGTAGAAGCCACAGCAACCAATTAGCTGGCTGAAAATCAGGAGATTAATCTGAGTACATAGCCAGCCAGGTTCCCTGTATCACTATAAAACTTAACAGCAGTAGCAGGTCTTCACCATATAAGAGTCATGATGTAAAGCATACAGCAGGAAGAGTTACTCAACGGTCTGTTCCTGAACAACAGCCTACTAACGATGATACAATTTAGAATATTATCCATCATAGGAAATATGACAGTGAGAGGCACAGAATGGCCTAACAAACAGAGCAATAGACTAGGGATCAGAGGTTTTATTTCCATTCCTGTCACGGGCCTGCAGGGTGACTGCAGATAAGGCCTCACGCTCTGCCTCAGCTTCCCCACAAGCAAAGCGTGCAGGAGCCTTTGCACTTTGAGTCACAAGAACGGCCCCCACCAATCTGGCTTGAAAGGTGAAAGAGCTTCAGGAAAAAAATACCAGAAAGATTTCATCTGTTATTCAAAACAAGAATCGGTTCACAAACTCTCTTTCCTTTTTGGCACATTTCCTGTTCTCTGAAGGAAGGGAATGGAACAGCCAATATAGCACAAACGTACCTGTGAATTAAACCATTTGGGGGCAGATGCAGGCAAGTTGCATTATCATGGACCTCTGCACTGGCTATTTAATCCTCAAGCGACGTGTGTTCTGCAGAGCAGCCTCCTGTGCAGACATAGCCAAATTCCACGAACAGGTTTTTAAGGCTGTCTTGAACACACAGCCGACTATTCACGCTCCTTCCCGGTATCCTTAGCATGGAGGTGTGTGAGAAGGCATCTCTCAAAAGTAGGTGGAGGTTTTCATAGAGAACACTTCCCTCCAGCAATTGCTGACAGAGGAACAGGCTGTGACACTGTTGCAAGATGGAGGAAATGATAGCAACCCCTGTAGCTATTATTTGCTGCCATTAACGACATGGGCGATGGGTGGAAAGATAATGGAAAGGCAATGCCATCTCCCTGCCCTGCCTTCAAGTGCATAGCCTGAAAATCCAGCCTGATGTTTATATAGCGTTTTCAACCTGTAATCTGCTAAATGCTGCGATTAAATAATTGTGCTTAAGGTTATAACTGCTTTTAAATTGTACAGTTTAACACCAAGCGTTAAAATTGACAAATGCCATTCCCCATTGAGTAAGTAACCGAACCTAAGCCTGGGGCTGAGCGCTGGAAGAGCACCCAATGGTTGCAGAGGGGAGGAAACCCAAAAAGGAAGAGTATTTTACTGGCATCTGGGGAAGAAAAGGGGAGAAAAGCAAGTGAGCAGTGGAGGGGCTTAAAACATGTTTATTTCACGTAGGCTGTGTTTTTACGCTTGACAAGCATTTCCTTTAAGGTAAGGAAGTCTGGCACAAGGTGGAAAAAGGACTGTCATTTCACTGGCATAGCAAAGTTTGGTGCAACAAGCCACGCTGGTGTGTCAGGGCAACCCCCACCCACCCTACCCCAGAGAAACAGGTTCCAGTGTGGGGTGCAAGTCTTGCCTCCCAGGGTAAAAATAAGTAGACTTCTCTGCTAAAATGTCTCTTGTGAACTGCACACTGGCTCCCAAGAGCTGAGGGGCAGGAAAGGAAGCTGTGGAAGAGTTTCCGCTATGGTGTAGGGTGGTGATAGTTTTTAAACACCGCAAGTGTTCTCGCTACGAGCTCAAATGACAGCAGCTGTGCAAAGCAGCCATGAACATGGAGCAAAGCAAAGGAAGGCTGGCTCAAGGAACTGACCCTGTGGGCTCTGGCAGTTCCAAACCACAACAGATTGCCACAAGAAGGGGTAAGTTACCTGTAAGACCTAGTCTTCACTAAGGACTGTGAAATACGACCATTTATACGTTACTACACTCATGTGATACCTCACTTACCTATGCACAGTTGGTTTTTCCCTTTCCCTCTTTAACAAAGTATTGTTACATGGAAATAGGTAGAATTAGCTTGTGAGGTACTGGAAAGTTTCGTTCATTTTTTTTCCCAGGTTTCTGGACAGGCTTGAAGCTGTAGTTTTATTAGCAGCCCTTGATAAGTTTGCACTGGCCTCTGCAACTGCCAAACAAGTCCTGACAAAAGTTAGACTAAGAATAAATAAATGCAAGGTTGGACCAGATGATCTCTAGAGGTCTCTTCCAATCTAGACTTTTTATGATGGTATAAATGGATGATTATTTTTTTTAATAGCCGCGTGACTTAGAGGCAGAGCTACACGAATAACTGATCTTTTGGTTAACTGGATGAACAGAAGGTCAAGGAGGGAGACAGAGTGTTGGGAAACAAAATTTTCCAACTCCCAGCAAGCTTTCCTCTCCCATTACAAAAACACTTAGCAGTGTATCAAGGCATTGCATTCCAGGCAAAATGTAACAATTTCTGCTCCTTTCACAAAGATTATATTCAGTTAGGGTTTTTTGAACAAAATGCTACTTAGGATGAAAAATCAAAATGTTTAAAAACACATTTCAGGCTTTTAAAAAAATGTGTTGTTTTCTTGAGGGAACTATTCATGAATTTCTGAAGAGGCGACTGAAAGCATGGATAGTCTCCAGCGAGCCTGACTTCATTTTTTGCCAGATAGACTGTTTCATTAAAAAACAATCAATCCCTTTGTCTGCTTAATCACTGTTCTGACAGGCTGCAAAGGAAAGACGAAGAATTCCTGCTCCGTGCGGTGCTACACAGAGTCACATGAAGGCTAAATGGAAAGCCAAACCTAATTTTGCAAGGGGCCATTAGCAGCCGAGGGCTCTCCAGTCCCACAAGAATAAAATCTTAACACAACAAGGTCCAAAGTTGTAAAAGCGAATGCCTGAAGTTCTGCCCACCAGCCTGCACTTACCCATCTAAATACCTGGGCTGATACACAGGGGTACTTAGCAAGCAGCATCACCACTTGTGAGTTAACGGGAAACGCTGGGTGATCAGGACTTTTCAAAGTCATATCATTTTCTTTGGTATCTTGGGAGGTCTTGGACCTTGGATGCACATTTACATATTCATGGATGCACACAGTCCACTTGAAGTTAATGAGACCATACAGTCCAATAAGGTAAAAAAATTTTTATGGGTATTTAGGGAAGATTTTAAGTCTGACCGCAGGCACTTTTGCTTTTACATTAAATCTTGGCCCAGGATTTTTCTCATATAGCTCACAAGATGTCTTTACATGCTTTTCCTCACCTTTTTTTTTCCTCACTGGATCACTAAGTAAAAATAAACCTTTGTCGTAACATTCAGCAGTAATAATTGAAAAATAGAGTAATTAAACAATAGAGTAATTAAACAATAGGTTAAAAGATATCAAACCTCTGCAAAAGGAAAACTAGCATCAGTAAAGATCCTTATAGTCTGTTTGAATGAGCCTAAATGATAAACAGAGATTGCTTCCTAAGGCAGCGCCTCTTTTAGGTGCTGCATCAAAGCTGAGCTTAAAAGCCAGGATCGCTCCCCTTGAAAAGCCGCGCGAACAGGACTCTTTGCTCCAAGTACTGAGCAACACTCGCTGAAAAAAATAACAAAACATGAAGCAGAGGCAAGATGCTGATTGACTGAGGGCATATGGGAGACCTAAGGACAACAATCAATCATGGATCTGTAAGCTGTTTAAAACTACTCAATGCTCGGGAGCCAGCGAGGGAGCAGCATCTGTGCACTCGGACCAGCTGTGGTGCCTCCGAAACCCAACCCGCCACAAATTAGGGGGAAGCGCTGCCATGAGAGCCTGCTCCCTGTGCACCCCCCGCCAGCAGGGACCACCATACAACCTGCACCCCCTGTTACAGGGAGACACTTGAGAACGAAGACGGAGCCCAGGCCTCTAAATATTTAGACGGCCAATGTTTTCGGCGGTATTTTGGGTTTCCCATCCAGGGTTTGCAGGGGCGCCTGTTTGGACAGGTTGGGATGGGAACGCCCGGCGCAGGCCATGGAGTGTGCAGGTTGGATGGGGAACACAACCACTGTCACTGTGTTTGAGGCTAATCAGGTTTGATGTCTCACCTCTTGGTTCAGCATGGGCTTGCAGCCCGAGTTTTTGTTGGTGAGCTGCAAGGGTGCTATCTGGCTTGTCATGTCTAATAATTTTCTCTTCTGAAGGCTGATATGCTGAAAGATCTGTGCTGCTGATGTTAAAAGCTGGATTTTCAATGCCTTCTGTTGCTGCTCTCTCTTCTTTTACTACAGAAAACAAGGAGGTCAGAAGAGCACATTATAGCAAAGTGTATTTCAATGACAAGCAGAAAATTCCTTCTAGTAATTCCTTTGCTGAAAGACTCAAGTGTATCGTCCTCAAATGTCGCCAAAACAGAATTAGGTTAAAATTAACTCTAAAAAAAAAAAAAAAAAAAGATTAAAATAATTACAAATTGCACCCTGACAAGCAAGAGCAAAATTTCGCCCACAGCCATTTGTCTGTAATTAGTTAATTAATCCTTACACAAATTATGAGCAATAACTCATCAAGCAAGGCTCACCCATCAGAAATTCAGCCGACTTGGATTTCTTCTGCTTAGTTTGCTTCAGAGCCTTCTGCTGGAACTTCTGGAGGGAAATTGTTAAATGAATAAATTAGCTAAAGAACGAAGATCATCCTTTATGATCCACAACTAACACAGTATTTTAAATATGGGATGGCATTGAAATGTCATTTAATTTACATCTCTGCTAAAGGGGTCAAACACTAATTGAACAACAGAAGTGGAAGAATTAAATAAAACAGAAAAAGAAAAGTTAAAACAAATGCCAAATGAAGGTCACATTAAAATACTTTGTTTTTTACCAATTTTAATTAATGCAAAGAAACCTCAACAAATGAAGAACATTATAAGACTTGTCTTTACAGTATGCATTCAGCAGCAACTGCTTTATTTCACTTGCAGAACTGCAGTGCTTCATTTAGAAAAGTTTGGTTATGCAGCATATTTATAGATAGATTTCCCTGACACCCCTCATTCTCCTGTTTTCTAAGCCCACTTACATAACCAGTATATTTGTTCATCACAGCACAGCTAAAAATGAATGAGCTCTACCATTTCGTTCAAGGCAATAAAATAAAAATAACTCGAAAACAATTTACGATGAGATGTCACAAAAGAGAGATCATGGTCCAGGGAAGAGGGGAAGCAGGACTCATTACAATGAGGAAAAGTTCATTTAATATTAGAGAGATGTCAGCAACAGTTATAGTGAAAACAAATAGCAAGAGATCTCGGAGGACCTAAACTCTGATGAGTTCTATGTTAATTCCCGTGGGGAAGCAAGGCTCAGAAAAATTGCAGTCACATTACTGCCATCAGGAAGGCCCAAGTGCTAAACACCGTCTTTGTATAATACTTTGACCGGCGCTAGCGAGAGCATCACGTGTGGGCTCATGCGTGGCTATAGACCCCTATAATAGATGCTAACAGTCAAAGCAGGCGGAGATTACCTAAAACAAAGTACATCTGGGAATATTAATCAAAGCCAAAACCAAAGTAAGAAAACAGTTCCGACCCATTTATTTTTGAACGTCACATGGCAGTTTCCGAAAACAGCATTGTTTTTTCAAGCCAGTTGCTTAATTGTCCAGTGATAAAGACCACTCCTGGCAACATAGCTCCTGGAAACTGTCAATACAAAAGGATTAATTACAAGAATCATTGAAAAATTGCAATTTTTACAGCATCCATCTTTCCCGTTTGATTGCGGGTGTCAATTTCAAGTAAAAAAACAATGCTTGCAGCAGACACAATCAATACATCTGTCAAAAATAACTCAACCATAGCAATGACAGATTAATACAGATATTAATATCTTCATGTATATATGCACACACACATATACGTTAATTTGAAAACAGTGGACTTCCTCTAAATTAAAGCCACTACCCTACTGAAAAACAAATGTGTGAAAATGACTAGACACATTCTGGCAACCACAACAAATAAATAATATAACAGAATTAATTCCTACAAGTCACATGCAGCACAAATGAAGTTGATAATTTTGTCAGGAGTTCAATAGGTTCAGAAATTCACCCTACTGCTGGTTTTTTTCAAACTGAAAAATCTTTCAGAAATACACATTAGCTGAGTTAGTATCTTTATAATTATATCACTTTTGCAATATTAAAGTATTGCTGCTTTCCTGCAAACCACAAAATTTTAATCAAGTCAGTTTTAGAGATTCCAGCAGTATTTATAATACTGCTGTGTGATAATTGTTCTTATCATGCTGCATAAAATCACCACACAAAACCTTGAACTTTATGTTAATAGCCAAAGAAAACATCTAGACAAAAATTCTGGGAAAACTTTTCAACTGGTATAAATCAGTATAAAACCGTAATTTTGATGGAATTGAGATGATCTGTATTACATTCTATGTATTCCTTCTGTATGTCAGATTTCCCTAGCAAAACCAACTGCAGGCTATACTAGCCATAGTCAACTTTCAATTTTTATAGCCTGTAAAATGCATAAGCTCCTTTCACTGCAAGAAGAAAAAAAAAGTATTCCTCCTTCCCCATATCTAATAAAGATGCACAGTGGGTTTTGATGTTTTGGAGTGTCTTTTTCTCTGTGTGTGTGTGTGTTTTGGGAGGGGGTGTGTGTATGTGTTTTGGTTTGTTGTTGTTTGTTTGGGTTTTTTTTAATTTTCAGTATAGTTAGCAGCAAATTTTGTTGTTTCAAGGACACAGTAGACTACATTCTTCCGCAGTTCACTTACTCGAATGCAAATTAGAATTTTTAAGTAGTTGATGTACAGGCTTGTGACCTCTACTTACTTCCAAAGAACTTCAAAAGAAATTATGCCCTTGTCCCTTAATGTGATCAGGTTTTAAAAAGGTGCTTTTCGTAAGTTCATATTTTTTAGAATGAATGTAACAATTTATTTTCAACAGCAGAAAGGAATTCTTCCAGAGTTACTTCTCAACATAACTGAATAACGGAGTATTTCGGTGCTGACCTTTGTGTAATCAACACATGTTCTTGTCACTTTGTGCTTCAGAGGAAATTAGAAGACATTTTCCTGTCATACCTATCTCCAGCCAATTTCCTCTTCCTTCTCTTTTCTACACGAGCACCTTTAAGTAGTGTAAATTACACTCTCTTTTTCACACACACCCCCCCTTCATTTTACGTTTCCTTCCCCAGCCCCCCTACCATTATGATGCTTTGCCTTCTCATCAGAGAATAGGCAGGAAATTATCCAGTGGCATTTTATATTCATTTTATCATTAGTCACTAGTAGATAATTTATGTATTTATGCAAATTTATGTCCAAACCAATTGTTCTTTAATCAGTCCACATGTACCTGCAAAACTCAGGTTTTCAATAGCAAATTAAATAAAACTCTCTCGGTGACTACTTGCCGTATTTGCAGGCCAAGTCCAGTTGTGTGAGCGTACCTACACGAATGCACATGAACGCACATCCATACAGAAAGCCATCGCTCTAATTATAGAACATTATCCAAAAATAAACATAAAAAAGCATTCCTACAAAAGCAGCGAAGTTACAGAACTGGAGGCCAGATCCTCAAGTGATACAAAGGCTGTGCTGGTTTACACCTGTGGTGGAGGTGGTCCAACTTGCATCCACAAACAAAACACGTCAGACCTGTCCATCCACAACCAGCACATAAAAAGGGGATGTCCTTTGCTTGCAAAGTCAAGTTTAAAGGGTGATGCTGCTGCTGATAGCAATTCATCCTGTCTCAAAGCTCCACCACAGCTGGTGGAAAACAAAAAGTCTTGCCTTTTAACTATTTTTTTAAAAAAAAAAAATGCCTTCCTACCTTGAGTGTGCTGCATTACGGGAAAGGGGAGTTAGAAGTGTCTGAGCACAGCACAGACTAATCACCATGTCATTCAAAAAGTGACCTAAACCTTTAGATGCCTTTTTGCATGCCGTCGTCATTAAAACGCACCACCTGCTTTCCGATACCAATTGAAACAAAGGAAAACCCGGAGTACCAGGACCCGCCGTACTCGGGTCTGCGGGAGAGCAGCGAGTGCAGCAACAACGGCAGCAGCAGCAGCGAGGGAAAAAACCCTCATTTATAACCAGTGACAACTAAAACCTACGAAGTTTTTAAAAGAATGTGATTGTTGTCAAAAGGAATTGGGTACAACAATGCTGCGTTCAGCTCTGGTTCCACTCAAAGCCGTGGCTGAGGGGCTCTGGGAGAGCTGCTGGAAGGCTGGTGGGCACAGACCAGCAAGAAAGTGAATTTTGCATACTGTACGGATCATCGCTCAGTTCAGGGCAGTCATATTGAATCTGTGATCAACGAATTGTGCTTCATGAAACCGTCAGCCCTCATTTATGTCTAGCTGTTTTCTTCTGTCCTGCTGTAAACAAGCTCTGCTCTGAGCTGTCTCCCTACCCTTATCTGCTTACGAAGATCACACAGACAGACCTCATCAGCAGCCTTAGAGTTAAAGTTAAAGTTACTGCTTCCAGACAGCAGTCCCCATGCAAGCTGGAAGTCAAAAAGAAGAGCAACTTTGGAATGACAGAGTTTTAGTTCCTTTTAGGAAATGCATACCTTAGATTCATACACATACTGGCATGTTATGTCTCTTTCATGAAATTAAATTAGGTGTTCCTAATATGAACAACTGTTTCTAACATCAGCAAACTAGCTCAGCAGATTCATCCATGGTTTTGTTTGTGGGTTGGTTTTGTGGTTTGTTGTTTTTTGGGTTTTTTTTTTCCTTTGGGGCCTTGTTTGAATACAGCCAAAAGAGAAGTAGCTGGAAATATTGTCAATCTGGTAGGGCTCCAAGAACCTAATAATGCCTGAAATGCTCTAAGGAGTGTAATGATGGTAAACAGGAACAGGTATGTTGGCTTCTGTTCTCATTCACTTCAGCAAGAGCATTAGCCTTTCAACATAAAGCAGAGCACAGTTTTCAAAGAGCGAGCCTCTCGCATAAAAAGGGATGGAGCCTTACTAAAAACATATTCCTCTGCAAACACACGCACAAATGCGTTAGCTGGTATTTACAGCATTTAATTCTTGCAACCAGCTGCTAAGTCCCTGTTAAGGCTTTCCTTTATGCAGCTGGAGCTGGAACCTTTTCCGTTCTCCCAGCCTATTACTTCGTCTATTTAAGGGATGGCAGCCAAAGAGAAACAGCTTGTAATTTGCACCTGTCTGCTTTAAGCACTCCATGTTAGATTTTGCAGAGAGCAAACTCTTCATTGCTAATGAGAATGACACTTAGTAGGGTCAAACACATTTTTTAGCTGACTCTGCAGCAATTAAAAAATAAATAAATAAACACCGACTTCCTTTAATCCTGTTCTAGCTAGAGAACGAGGCTAAAGGAAAAGCCTTGTCGAAAAAGAGCAGCTCAGTGTGTAGGCGGAAGATGTAACCACACGTGTCTCGTCTAATGGGATACTGGGCACAGCGAGGCATGACTAAACCTGTACACTGCCCATGCAGGAGCACAGGGGAGAGCTTTTGCCTCTTCCCCCTATAAAATTCAGAAAACAGCCACATGCAAAGAATCCTGAATTTCTACATACTGGGCTGCCTTTTGAGGTCTCACGGTATGCTTTGCTACCTACAGGGTCAGGCCCGTGAGAACATAGTTCTCTGAGAATTAAAAAGAAATTCATGCTTCATTCCTGATCCAGAGGTGTGCAAGCATTACCCTGCAGAGACACACGTGCCGGAGCATAGAGCAGTGAAGGTGTACCTCAAGCGGACAACCCACGTGTGATCTTTCCAGCCTTACATAAACTACCTTAGCATGTTTGCTTCTCGCTAGAAAACAAGCATTGGCGCTTTCAGTCAACAGTGGTATCATTTAAAATTACATTGAAAGAAATAACAATTACACTGGCATATTGGTTTTGTTACTTAAGAAATAGACTTTTTCTTGCTTGCACTTAAGATACAAAAGTCCTCAAAAACTCAAGCTACAGACCTGATGACAAGAACAAAAATGCTGGGGGGGGGACGGGGGGGACAGGAACAGAAAGGAAAGAAAACAAAGTAAAACATACAATTTATTAAAGAAAACATTGGTGCTGCATTTTGATTTCATAAATTGTCCCCATGTGTACTTCCTGTTTAAACAATAACTAACATGATGATGGGTTAAATGAAGTTGAGATTGTCACAAACATGGCCTCGCTAGTAATTAATGTAGTTTAATATGGTTGTTGGCACACATCTCACATGACAGATAATGTTCCAACATGTCACTGATAGGACCTTTCAGCACAGCTTTAGGAGATCTACCAGGCATTGCCGAGGTTGGTTAGGTCAAAGGGTTGAACCATGTGTAATTCAGAACAGAGGAGGTCCCACGGTCGCTCCACAAAAACAATTACACTACTTATTTCACTCCATCCCTTGCCCGAAATTCACAAGCCTCACAGTTTCAGCGCAGTCAATCTTGCTCTGCCCTGGGGCTATGAGCCACATGAAAATATGTGGTGCTGTGTTTATAAATCTAATCAAAAATAGAAACAGTAGACAAGCACAATGAGGTCCTACTATGGATCATGGGAATTCTCTAAATTCTGAAGGCACTTTTGTTTAACTTCTGTGGGCCTTCTCCTACCATTACATTGTCTGGTACTCTCGTTAATCATCCCCTTGACTTGTCAATGATATAAAGGAGCCTACACGTCTGCTGACTTCCCTCCCATCACACTACAAATAATATTATGAAATAGCAATGCTAGGAATAGCCCTTTTAATTTTTCTGTTTTAAAGTGGGGTTTTTCTTCGCTTACCTCTTTCTCCATGCCAGCCTGCCCTTTCTCAGACCTGCAGCAGAAAACACTTCCTTCTGCAACAAAAGAGAGGGAGCACATCTGAATTTTCAGTCTGCACACAGTCACTAATACCCTTAGGTTTAACACACAGACTTGCAGAACACCAGCCTAGAAACCTGCCAGGATGGGGGCGTCTTTTCCTGCTGCAGTCCCTGCTCCTGCCTTGCCAAAGAGCAAAGGGAGAAGACAGTGCTGTTCCTTCACTTCACCTTTCAAAAAAAAAAAAAAGAAAAACAACAAAAAACAACAAAAAACCCCAAACCTTTGCATATGATCACAATGAAAAAACACCTAACAAACAAAGATAAAAAAGAAAAGAGTAGTTTGAGCTCAGGTGAAGTAACACCAACAAAGATATGCTTTTGGGGGGATGTAGCCCAGGAATAGATAGTTTCTACCCACAGACAGCAACTACTAAAACAATGCAGAGAGTTTGCTGTGGAATACAACTAACCTGAAGGTTACAGTACTAAAGCCGCCAGACTCAGGAATGCTTCTGTGATCCAACATTTAGGTGGGTCCCACTTGTGCCTCGCTCCCTGTGCTGGGATTTCCATTAGAAAGATGGAAATTATCCTCTACTCTAAGGTTATAACCATATAACCATATATATAACCATTCAGCCATATAACCATAACATAATTTTACAAGTTACGTAACACATCAGCAAAAATCGCCTCGATTTTATACCGGCTACTTTTGTCTCTGTGTGGGAAACTAAAAATATTCATTCAAAATAGCTAGACGGGTTGCCCCTGTGCTCACTGAAATCAATGGCAAAACCTCAGTCTGACTCCAGTCGCAGGATCTGAACTGCAATGAATAGCAAGCTTCTTTCTTTGCCAGCTTTTCCCTTATGCATTTATACAAACACACATTCAGATTATTTTGCAGGGCCTGGAAACAAAACAAGACTTTGAACAATTAAAAATATCCCCCCAGAGTCCCTCAGAAGCTTTAATTGACCTTCTGGGTCAGAAGATGCCCCGTACAAAGTACATGTTTGGCCCCAGTTGAGGAAACTCTCTTCCTGAGGGCACCAGGCAAAGAAGTGCTTAATTCTAAGTATGTGCTTAAGTTTCATTGAAATCAATACAATGGACAGTGGACAGGGCCACAAATTCTCTACGGAAAAAGGCTGCATTGTCCCTTTGGTTGCTCAGTAATGAATGAAGGGCTGAGCTTTTGCCCAGGTCTTGCTCACACTGAGAGTCTGCTGACCTTTGCCATTGCTCCTCAATTTCGGTGCCCTCCTTGGGGTGCCAAGGCCATTGCAGAGATGCCGGGGGCTGCAATTCTGGCAACTCCTGCTCCTCCTGCAGCCAGCTCTGCCCAAATAGCCCCTGTGCCGTAGCCCACAGCTGTTGCAGAAACCACGCCGAAATGCCTCTCCTCCATAACACTCTACGATATTGAAAATAAAGCCCCACCGAGATCATGCAGGTGAGCTAAGGTCATGTATCTAGTCATCATATGTCTCTGAAAACAACCCCAGAGTCCCAATTCCAAAATCCAGGATGGGTTTGCAGGCCAAGGTAGTACCTGCATCACTTTTCCAGCTGCTCTAATCTAATCCCATGTCCACTGAACACAGCAGGTAAACCGTTTTGAGTCCAATAGCACAGCACGTTCCCTGTTATGGCTCAAACAGGAGCAGCAAAACCCAAGAACCTGAATGAACCAAAAACGCAATAAAAGCTTGAAATGGCTCCCCTCCTTTTCAAGGTAAAAACACATGAAGCTGCCGCAGAAAGAACTGATAAAGATGCAAATTCAACACTTCCCCCTCCATGGTCAACATCTGCTGATTGAAGAAGAGCCAAAGATGCAGCAATAAGAACTTAAAAAGCAACAACAGTCCCACGAATTCTAACATCAGTGGAGAAACTTGGAGTTTCATCTTAAAGAATGTGATTCACCAAAATAGGGAAGCAAAGGCAAAGATATATAAACAATGAGTTCAGAGGAGACATTAGTAACATTAGTGCCTTAACACTGATTTTTTTACAGTTCAGGAACTTCCCTTTATTTGCGTTTTCTAGGGAATTTGTTTATTTGTTTGGGTGGGGGATAACTTTGGTGTTTTTATAAATGAAGGCGCTAGACATTGCATTTCCTTTTTTCTTTTTAATACTAATCGGGCAACACATTCAACACTGCATTAACTGGTGTTGACTGTGGCCTTACTTAACCTCATCAGTCTATTTTCTGTAGCTGGATAACAGCTGAATCATTAGCATTAAGCTGGCTTGCAGTCCTGAAAGAGTACAGCAAAAACAAAGTACATGATGTTTTCCATCAATCGAAAAACAACATAAAACTTATTTCAGATCCCACCAGATATTTTCTTTTATACTCAGCTGGCGAAATGCTTTGTATGATTTAGTGGTGGACTTCAGTTATTTTTAAGTACATTTGTATTAAAATGACAAGGCAAAACCTCCACTTAGAAGTTATTAACTTAGATACTTACACTTTCTCTTTTTTTTTTTTTCTCCATTTTTCCCCCACTTGTGCTGTTTTTCCCATTAGAGGAACAACTAGGGAAGCTACATCAAATATGCAACATATCTAAGTAGCTTTCTGTAATGAAAATAATCTGTTCTCAATACAAAGATGGAGAAATTAAATACAGGGAGATGCAACAAAAATAACTCATAGCACCACAGCTGCATTGATGGGCTCCTCTTGCCAGCCACAGACCTGGGAGAGATCAAAACAACAGACCTTCCCATTGGAGCAGACTGAGGTACCCCTTTCTCACACAAGTTGATACACGCTATATCAACTACTGGAAACCACTTGCGTTGCACGAAGGTTGCACGAAGAGCCTCTATACAATAAGAGCCTTGCAAACGCAGCCATGAAATGTACTGTTCTTGCCATGCTGGCATGCAGGAGAAAAACCATGCTGTTCGTAGCTGCATACCCAGCATCTCCTTAAAGCACTCCCAGATGCACAGGCATGTTATCACAGGCCAAGGAGAGCAATGCTGGGCACAGCTAAGGCTCTGGTGATTGCTGGCAGAGAAATAGCAGGTTCATAGCAGGAGTAGCAAAGCAACAGTTTGTCATCACGGTGGCTGCCTTCACTCCTTTCTCACCTTCACCTGGTACACAATTTATCACATGCTAAGAAGAAGTGCTGTGGGATCTCTGTGCTACAATATCGGCAGAAACCACTGAGTAAATGATAACCCTAACAACCTACTTGTAATTCCCTTTGGACTCTCTCATAAATACCAGCTAGCCAGCATTGGTCTTTAAGAAGTATTTCTTCAGGGGAAAATTGCACCTCTGGTGAAGAGAATCCATCAGTCACTTAAATTCAGCGGGACTGACCTTTGAAGCCACAAGCACTGTGCTTATCCTCTTTAATCACCAATTTTGGGAGCGGGTCCTTCAAAGTAATCTCAGATCCTTTCTATCCTTTCTCTTTTCTTTTTTTTTTTTATTTTTAATTTAAAAAGTAAGGAGTTTACTGCAAATATGCTTTTATAAAGATCATTAACACACTTAAAATTAAGTTCACATTCAATTACTTTGCTTGATAGGTTGTAATGTTCATAGCCTTTTTCCACATGCTTGAAAAAGTAGACAGGATAAATGATTTTTCTATTGATAAGCCTCAGTAGGCAGCTAAGCATCACTCAGCCACTCGCTCACAACCCTCCACCCAGTGGAATGGGGGAGAAAATCAGAAGGGTAAAAATGCAAAAACTCATGGGTTGAGACAAAGACAGTTTAAAAAAAAATTTTAAGAGGATTCCTCCTCTGCACTCGGCAGAATGGATGTGGCAACCCAGACAGAGCTCCCACGAAAACATGCAGCCATCCAGGTCTTGGGCTGCAGGGAGTGCCAGAGCCTTTTGCTGGTGACGGATGGCAGCAGTGAGAATGGGTGTGTGAGGTGTGACCAAGTGGAAGATCTGCTCAACCTGGTGGCAGAGCTATGGGAGGAAGTCAAAAGGTTAAGGAGCATCAGGGACTCTGAGAAAGAGAGACTGGTGGAGACATCCTCTGCCCTCCCTGGGACAGAAATGGAAACAGCCACTAGAAAAAAAATCAAGATCAAGGGGACCCTGTATCCTCTCCTGCCAGGCTGGAGGCAGTAGCTTAAAGGAGAGGAGTGAATGGAGGCAAGTCCACGCTCAGGGCAGCAAGCAAACCCCCTTCTTGCCCGCCCCACCTTTCAAGGTGCCTCTGTACAACAGGTATGAGGCTCTGGATGTGGAAGGCCAGTCAATGGATGATGTGGATGATAGTCCATCTTCACCAGAGGTGCTGCCAAGGTCAGAAAGGCCTACCCCCCACCATATCACTACCACCTCCACAAGGAAGAAAAGATGTGTTATAGTTGTAGGCAACTCCCTTCTGAGGGGAGCAAAGGGTCCAATATGCCATACAGACTCTCTTCTTAGGAAAGTCTGCTGCCTCCCAGGGGCCTGGGTTAAGGACATCACTAGGAAACTTCCTAGCCTCGTACAGCCCTCTGACTATTACCCATTGCTGCTCTTTTATGTGTGTGGTGATAAAGCCACAATGTGTAGTCCAAGGATGATCAAAAGAGACTTCAGGGCCTTGGGATGGTTGGTAAGGGAATCTGTAGCACAGATTATTTTTTCCTCTCTTCTTCCATTTGCGGGCAGCAACATTGGAAGAAACAGGTGGGCACAGTCTATTGATACGTAGCTCCGTAGCTGGTGTCACCGACACAATTTTGTTTTTTTCGATAATGGGATGGCCTACATGGCACAAGGCTTGCTGGCGACAGATGAGATTCACCTTTCCGAAAGTGGGAAGAGAGTCTTTGCTCACAAGCTAGAAGGACTTATTGACAGAGCTTTAAACTAGGCCTGAAGAGGAAGGGGACAATATCAGCCTTGCCCTTGACAAGCTGTGGGATGAAATGCCAAGGTTGGAGGGACAGTGTGCTAACAAGAGCCCATAGCCTCTTGCTCTGAAACATG